TGATAATCTGCAGGAGACCGGATGTATCGCAATTCGCATGGCGTTCGTAGCGCAATGCATACAGTGCTACCAGTTTGATGGCATCATCAACGTTGACGCGCTCGTCGGCAATCAGTTTCTTGATGCGCTGTAGCTGTGCCGAATGCTCCGCCTTACAGGCGATCTCCTGCTCCAGTTCGGATACTTCGAACAGATTGCGCTTATTGGATATGCTGGACAATTCACCCATGACGCACAAATGCTTTTGTACGGTGCCCGACATTTTCTTAAACTGCGGATAGGAATCAATGAAGTTCTTCATATCGGCTATGCTCTCGACTTTTTTGTGATCGTTTGCCTTGCGCTGAAACTCCTCCATAAGCTGCTTAATTGTGGAGCCGATTTCACCATAATTTGCATACATGTTGCTGCCATAAAACTCATCCTGATCACCGGACAGCACCAGCTCCTTGAACTCTTTGGGCACATTGGGACGCTCGGACAAGTCGACTCGATTGTTGCGTATATTGAGTAGCTCATGCACCATGGCCTGATACGACCACTGATGCAGCAAGGGCGTTACTGGATCATCCCTACGATCCAGCAGCAAGAGCAAAGGCGGCGCAGCGCCATCCACATTGCCGCGAAAATCAAATAGCGCTGATTCCTTGGTCGTTTGATCGTAGATCAGCTTGGCCAGCAGTTGCGCCACCTGCGAGCCGGCCCGATAGCGTATGACCGGATTAAGTTTTAGCGACAGCAGCACGGCCGTAATGCCCTGCACGCTGCGAGTCAGTGCATCTGGCAGCCAGTTAAGGTTTGTCATGCAGTTCGGCATATTTATGGAAAATAAATTGGGATTAACGCACAAATAGTCCGCATACAGTTCTTTCACTTCGCGCACCGACTCTGACTCATCGCATTCGGCAAGGTATTTGATATCAGTGCGTGGTATAATGTTGCTAAAGTCTATATAACAGGATTAATTTACGTTATCAGGCAATCTTTGGCAACTGTTATAACACACTTACATATGAAATAGGCGCTATATTTTGGGTTGCGTAGCTCATTGGCCAGCAGCTGGATGTTTTGCTTTGTGGGGCGTATGAAAACAATGCACTTGAGATACTTCAAACGCTCGTTGGAACGGCCGGAATCCAAGCGTTCGAAGAGATAGACTTCGCGTTGTAGCATATCAGATTGGCTAAAGGCCATGGAAATTATGCTTGTCTAAAATAACGTAAAAAGTTGGCAGTGAAAAATTTGTCACATCGAAATTGGGGTTCTTAATACCGTCTCCTTGTCTAGCAATATAATTTTCATGCCCGGTCCAGACTCTGTGCACATCTTTTCAATGTACAATTTAATACCACTTATTAAATTCATTATTGAATCTAGTTTTTTACTAAGCGAATCAAATTGCAATTATTTTATTTGTGTGAACAGCTGTTGACAGCATTGTGTAGAGTTTATACCACACACCTCAACCAAAGTACTCACTAGTTATCGATACTTATCGGGCGGCGCAAGCGCGCCTCGATTCAACTTAAAAGCTCGTTTATTTTACATTACATTCTACAGTCTTGAGAATGTATTTGTTTATTTCTCATTTTTCTTGACAAAAATCACAAAAAGTCTATTAATGCTACGAGTAATTACAAATATACGCGAAGCCTCCAACATTTACAAACTTAAGTAATACGAATCACGTTTTGTAAGGCAACAATAAACCACCGATTAAAAATGGTCAGCCGCTGAAACAAAAACAACTTAATATAAAACGCAGTGGTTCGATATGCGTCTGTTGTGTTCTACGTTGTGCGTGTTCACATCCAAGGGTCAGCTTTGTGCAGAGGTTCATTGGGTTATCGCTGGCTTTTCGCTCTGCTCTTTCTTCAGCTTTTCCTGCTCCAACTGATAGTTATATGCTCGTCCCAGTTGAACCAATTGCGTTAGGCCCACAAACAAATTGACGGCAAACAAACTGTAATTTTTGGGTATAATCACCAGCGAATAACGTGACCAGATGATGCCCGTGGCAGCCAGTGCACCGCATGCAGAAACGGAAATGGTGTCCGCAGGACGGGCCAAATCACTTAGTCCAGCGGCGACTAGACCCTATAAAAACGTAGATAATAAAAATTAAAACGTAAACACATTTATGTTAATTAACATTAAAAGTTGCGATTACAGCGTTAGCTTATGCTATCGTCATTTTGGCGCGTGCAATAAAATAAATATAAATAAATACTTATAAAGCAATAACAATTCCCACACATACAACCACACACACACACACTAACATACCCTAATGTAGACCTATCGCGTGCGCTCTCTGAACGGGCAGCTGTCTAAAACAACACCCGAGTTTAGTCTGCTCGAATAAACAAATAATCATAAAAAGCAATTCGCACACACTCACAGATTTGTGTATTAATGTCATTTAGATTTTGTATATCAGCAGCAGACAGAGATAATGAAAATTAGCGAAGGTCACGCAGTCGAAATTATGTAACAGGCTGTCCGTCATTCTGTCTGATAGGGAACTTACCCATTTGAAAATTGGTGCCCAGAAGAAAATCGTTTTTGGACCTAAAAATGGATTTATGTTAAGCAAATGCGACACGTGGTATATTTCATTTAGTTTTTGTTGTTGTATTTAGCCCACCTGCAGGATGCATCCAAAGTGGCCGCATTTTAGCTGGCACAAATTTGTCGCAGGCACCAATCATGCCATTGTAGATCTTTGTATGGATGCCCTTTCCAGCAGCGGTAGCAGCTGATGAGGGTGGCGGCGGTGCGGGTGCGGGTGGTGGCGGCTGTACGGCGGTCGACGACATTTTGTTTGTGCGAAATCAGCGGCGAATTTAGGCAGAAATACAATTCAGACAACTGCGAGCAGTGACTAGTGTACGGACAGACAGCTTTACCCGTACTAAATTGATTCAGTGGCAGGCCCATGTGAACAACAAAACCGTGTTGACATGATTAACATTAGAGTCGGCGCTCTTGCTCTCGCTGTGTGCATGTGAGAGCGGGTATGAGGGGGCGCGAGAGCTCACACTTACACACACGCATAAACAGCTGAGAGCGCTATTACATGAGTTTTTTACTTTCCAAATATTCCAACAAAACAAAAACAACAACAAAAACTGGTTTGACGATCCACTTTCAGATTGCTCTATTTTCCCGTCAAACTCTCAACTCAAATGGGAAACGCAACGTCCTTGGCCTTGACAATCGTTTAATGCCAGCGCCAATTTCCGCAGCGCACCGTTGACGGAAGCAGCTAAAAACGCACTTAAATGCATTCACAAATACATGTATATTATTCTAAAAATAGACATTAAAATGCAGTTTGTGTCTCATTTTGCTCTGGCTGCATCACGCGACAATTTTATACTTGCTCGCCAAGCACATATCTGTTTATCTCTTTAGGACTACTCGCGTTTAAAATCATGTTAATAAACCACTTTTATGTAATATGGAAAATTGCGACAAAATTCAAAGCAACAAAAAGCTTTTTTCCGGGCACGTGCTACTTTTAAAAGCGACTAAAAAAGAACCTATATAACGTTTTTTTTTGTTATCCATTTTAAAAAATACAATAAATAAATAGGCACAGTAATTCCAGGAGCAAATCAAATCATTTTATAGGCGTATCAAATTTAAAAGCTAGCTCGAATTGGATTTTAAGCCATGCATGTCGAAAAGGTCAAGACACTTAAAAAACACTTTAGTTTATAACAACTTAGAGACTATGAGCTTTAGAAGTCGATAATTTTTTACATGAGCTTGGTCAAAATCTATAATTCTTTCCCTACAACTAATTCAAGTATTTCGAGGGTTTTAAAAAAATTTTTAAAGAATTTTCCAATAGGAAATCGCATTAGCGTTTCGTGACTTACAAATGCTTTTAAATGAAGCTTCGGAAAGCTTTAAAAAATTCATACAATAAGAAAAACCTCTTGCTCAAAACTATCGAAAACTACATAGCTTCAAGATCAATCGATATTATCTTGGTGTTTTAGAACATCTTTCTGTAGACATCGATAGTTGCTTGGTCTAGGCTGGTTGATGGATTAACTATCCAACACTTATCGTGTCGGTAAGGCTCACCCTAATGCTATGTATATATGTGTTGGACAGCCTCTATCAAATTGGAATATGTATACACATCGTGTGATTTACATATACAAACCAAACAATCAACTCTCAGCACAGTGTGGCAAAATAAATGAAATATATCAAATTTGGAGCGCCTATTGCGCATCAACACATACCGTATGTACATTTATGCATGTGCGTGTATACACGTGTATGTATGTACATCTTCTGTAACTTGATTAGCTGTTCGCCCCACCTTAAAGCCGCAGACAAATAAACACAAGTGTTTTCTTTTTTTTTTTTAGACTGCACACATCAGGTGGATGTTTAGAAATTTCCTGCAAATGTAAATAAAACTGGAGAATATGTCCGTTCTTTTTTTTTTATCGTTTTTCATGTTAGAAATGTATATGTAATTTCAATTACAAATCAAAGGCGTACATGTCATTAAAATTATTCATTACAAATCAAATAGTTCTACAAATTTTATCATTCCTGTGTAATTTTTTGTTTGTTATTGTTATTTTTGCTTTGTTTAGCACATATGTTGCAGTTGCAATATTTCGTTTGCGCCTTTACAGCCCGTTTGAAGAAGTATATACTTAAAATTGATTGACATATGATGATTTTTAAACTTATTCAATTGAATGAAAACATAAATAATCTAAAAAAAAGGATTTCGCTATTGCAACATGCATCAGACAAAGTTTAACAAAGTATAATAATTTTTTCTTCTTATTTTGTTATAGGTTGACATACATAGAGTTATGTATGTTTGAAAACACAAAAAATTATTTTTTAAAAAACTGTTTTGCTGCAACGATTTTAGTTCGTGTGTGTGTGTGTGTGTATGTATAATTGTTATTGTATAATATAACCAAGCTGTCATATAGAATGTGCATAATTATTTTCCCTTTTGTTTTTTTTTTTGCTGTCAGTGTGGCTGTTGTTTTTGTTGGTAAATGGGCACAGAGTATCGCTCGAAATCGTATTGCTTTATGCTTTCAATCGAGTATACCACCAAATCAGAAGTGTGTGTGTTTGTTTGTGTTTATGCGGTACTGCTCTCAGCCATTGGTATTAAAAGTTGAACGAATTCATTGGTAGTTTATCTGTATTCGGATCAAAGTTGTATTCTGTGCCATCAGAAGTCGGTGCCAGATTAGATTGTTCGCCCTGTAAATGCCAAGTGGAGAGGGGTTAATATTTTGCTGAAGCAGCTACAAGTTAAATGTCCTACCTCTGTAAAGTATTTCTCAATAATTTCGTATGCTAGCTTGTAGATCTCAATATTCTCGTGGTTTTGCAGACGTTCAATTTTGGCGAGTCCTTCGCATTCTTCAATCAAATTGGCAACCTCCTCCACATGTGATGCGGCCACTTTGAGCATATTGTTGAGACCATCGAGCACAACCTGCCAAAATCGACATTAGTAAATATAAGATGCCAGTTGTGTTATTTATGATTTCAGCTTACATTGATCACTTGTGTGTCCTGGCACGAGAGCAGATCGCAGAATGGCGGTATGACACCCTCCTTGATTAATGTAAACACTTGCTCGGGTCTGCCGCTAATGGTTAAATTACTTATGGCCCAAGCTGCCTCTTTCTGTGTCTGGAATTCGCCCTTGCTCAGGTTGTCAATGATTTTCGGCAGCAGGCCAACATTGATGACAGCCTGCACCTGGGATTCGTTGCCGGCGGTGATGTTCGATAGAAACCAGACAGCTTCCTTGCGTATCTTTTCCTTTGGATGCGACAGCAGCGCTGGGAAATACGACAGTGCATCGTAATTGAGTACCACTTGTGTCTGCTCATCCGATCCGGTTACAATGTTGCCCACAGCACGCAATGCTGCCGTCTGTACCTTAACCTCGCTGTTGCCCAGCAGCGGTATCAGCTTGGGCACCACACCGCTATCGATAACCATTTGGATTTGTTCGTTGCCGCCATCGGTCAAATAACTGATGGCCCAAACCGTATCGACCAAGATGTTTGTGTCAGTGTGATGGATCAGCACATTGAGTGCAGGCAGGATTTCATGTATTGTGGCAGCTGGTGGCGGCGGATCCTTGTTTCTGCACAAATTCACAATTACCCAGGTGACATTACGTAAGAAAGATATGGGTATATCGGGCTTAATGAACGACAGCAGCGGCTGCACAACGCCAAGCTTAATAACAAAATCGCGCAGCAAGGGTCCATCGCCAATGATATTGCCCAGCGCCCATACGGCTTGTTCGCAGACATTCGGAGCGGGTGAGTTCAGTAATTGAAGGAAGAGCGGCACAGCACCTGCAGCAACCACCTGCAAAAAAAATAGAGACAAATATAATAGATGCGAATTTATAAGTGCTGACAAATGTGATTATTCATTTGGTTTTTTTGATAGCTACATCAGCAATATGTATTACATATATAAATATATGAGTATATAGATAACTGTATATATAAATTTTTGCATTTCTTGAGCACAGAACCTTTGGAATTTTCGATGCCCTCTAAATTTGTTTATGCCGCTTACCACACGTGTAACTCATTGAAGGACACATTACTGACCACATTAAGTATTTACAGATATTCAGATACAGTATTGAGAGCAGAATTAAATGCCAAGCTATATTAATATATTGCTGCAGCTACTACGCATGTCGAATTTGGGCGAATTAGTGATAGCTGTATCTTTCTTGTGATATTTGGATGAAGCTTGATAATTTTAAGACCTTCTAGGTATGAGCCAACATCAGACTACAATATCAGCAGTATATAGCTTTTATAGGTACAAACGGAACAAATAAATTGATGTATTTTATATCGTATACAATATACTTAAATACAGCACAATATGATAATTTCTGTAATATTATAAGGTTCAAGGATATCGACAGCTCACCTGATTGGTTTGATCGGAAGTTCCTGATGCAATGTTGGTCAATGCCCATGCGGCCTCAAACTGGAGCATTGTGTGATTATGTTGCTTCAGGCATTCAACCAGAATGGGCAATATATCGCTGTTGATCAGATCATTAATGGGTGGATTTTTGTCCGATGATAGCAATTTGCGTGCCGCTTGAACGGCTGCCAACTGTTGATCCGGTTTCGATGGATCAGCGGCGGCCTGAGCGAGTTTCTTGAGATTTATCGAGTTGGGCAATTGCTCATCCTCATCTGTGTTGGAGTCCAGGTTGGGCACATTGCGACGCTTCAGAATTGTTTCGTCGCGCTTATTTTTGCGCAACTCCACGGTTACTTCATTGCGGCGACGACGCATCTCCTGTTGATTAATAATTAATTAATTTTAAATTTTTAATGCAAACTAATAGAGAAGCGCAACGTACATCTTGATCCTTTCCTTTGTTTTTAAAGTTTTGCAAGCGATTTTGATCCAGCGATGTCATTTTCACTGTTTATGTGTGTGTATATGTGTATATATGCGACTTCCAACAACTTCCAATCAAAATTGAAATGCCTTTCCTGTTCAATTTCTAAATAAGTTCGTGGCTTTTATATTTTATTCGTTGTCCACTTCTGCTTCAGTTATTTCAATTACACGCGCAACGAAAATTTAACCACATACAAACGCACATACACAAATACAAATACCGACACAATCATAAGGCCAGAGCACGGGCATGGCAGAGAGCAGCGTAGACAGACGTCCGTTCGTTTGTTCCGACAAAATCGACATCGAGAGAACCAACACAGTTGCATGGCAGAGCAGCACGGGCAGCACGATGACAATGACAGTGGCAGAAGAGAAGGAGGAGGAGGAGGGCAAAGCCACCAGGCGAAGAGGAAAAAATAAAAAGAAATGGCGTTTAAAAACGTTGCCAATTTGCAGCCAGGTGTACGAATCACCATTGTTAAATAGAGCTGTCGAAAGTTTCACTTACATTTTCAGCTGGTGTTCTCCGTAATTATAACTGGACTGACACCGTACAGGCCTATGATATAGTGATTAAACCTTTTCTTTTTTTTGATATAAAAATTGCAATTCGTGACAGCGACGTGACTAAAGTTGGCTGCGCTTCAAATCGACAGGGCTGCCAACTTACAGCTACCTAGCTGCAAAGAATTTATCGTTTTTGTAACATCACTATTAGGTATGTGCAATATATTTTTTGTAATATTTTGGCCATCAAATCTATCGATTGATATGATTTAGGCGTGCAAAAACTGAACAATTTCTGTATATATGCACATATAAAATATAGTCGCTGCATGTAGTTCGATGTGCATGCATTTTTATAAACGCTACCAGATGACGCCGATGCGATAATGACTGAAAATACGGACAGCGCCAGCACGTTGGAGCAGCAGGCACAGCAATCAACGCCCGCAGGAGATGTACCACTGGCCGTCATGGTGAAACATGAGAAGATTGACGCAGAGATCGAGGCGAAGCTTGTCGCAATAAATGCGAAGGTCAAAACTGAAAGCACCACGCCCCCAACGGCATCGGGCACCGACAGCGACGCGAGCAACAGCATCGACTCGTCGCAAGACGATAAAAAGCAAATAGCACCAGTTAAATCCTCCAATGAAATACTCGCCGAGCTTTTTAGCGTATTCAATGCGGCGCCGCCCGTTGAGCTGCTGGATGACAGGAATCTGTTGAGGAAACACAGGAAATCAAAAAAAGACAAGAAGAAAAAGTCGCGTAGCAAGCCGACCAGATCCGATGGGGAATGCACCGATACGGATGTGGCGCCCGCTGAGGGAAAGTCCAAGCACAAGCACAAGCGGAAGAAGCACAAGCACAAACATAAGGACAGCAGGGACAAGCTCAAGGACAAAGATCGCGAAAAGTCTAAGGAAAGGACAAGCACGGTAACAGTCAAGACAGAGGAACGGACGGACAACCGCAAAAGACACGCGCCAGCGGATGAGGAAAGGGCGCCTGTGCCGGTCAAGAAGGAAACATTAGAGCACGAACAAAGGGACGAACGGGAGAGGGAACGCGCACGTGAGCGGGAGGGGGAAAGGGAGAGGGAGCGAGATCGCGAACGCGAACGTGAGCGCGAGCGCGAACGTGGTCACAATAGCTTCTACAACGGCTACCACGAGGACAAACATGCGCGTTCCAAGGCGAACAACAACAACAACAGATCCTCCAAATTAAAGGTGGAACGGCGAGAGTCCGACGAATTGTCGTTGTCCGATGAGGAAACATATCTGCGGGAGAAGGCCAACGAACGACGTAGTTTCTACGGCGCCACCAAGCCGGAACCGAGCGATAATAAGCGCCACAGCGTCAGTACTCGTCACCAGAGCGGCAGGCAGCGAACGCGTTCCCGTTCACGTTCACGTTCGCGCTCTCGTTCCCGCGATTTGGGAATCGATAAGAAGCGTTTGCTGGAGATCGCGCGGCGCAATGCAATCAGCATGTTTAAGCGTGGCAACATGGCCGGAGTGGCCGAGATGACGCCAGAAGTGAAGGATAAGGTGCTGCTCAAGATGCGCTACGGTGGTCGCACCGTCCAGGATCTAACAGATTTCTGCAAGAAGATCTCCAACGGTGAAATGCTGTCCGATTTTAGTTCCGACGAAGATTCGGATGTGGATAAGAACGGCAATGCCAAGGCTTTCCATCATCCGTTTCAGCTAAAGGAGCGCGAGCCAATTGTCATGCACATACGCAACTCCACTCCAATAGTGCCGTCCACGCGTCGCGATGAGCAGACCAAGGCCATTACCATGCAATTTCCAGTCTCCTCCGGACAGGTACACCGCATGTCCGAGGTGTGGGTGCCTGTAGAGCCAAAGGACTCACTGGCACCGCTGCCTACCCTGCCGCCGGCCAAACAGGCCACCAACATTTTCAAAGATGTGCAGCGCAATGTCTTTGCCAAAACTATACCGCAGCAGGAGCAGCAGGAGCCCGCCTTTAAGTCTGCAACTAATCAGCCGGATGCCGTCGCCGGCACAGTCGAGGGCAACGCAATGCAGCCATTGGCCGTGCCGCTGCCCGTGCCTGCTCCAGCAACTGCTCCTGTTCCGTCGACGGTTGTTGTCCAGAAGGCGCTGCCGCCGCCGGCTAACAGAGCGCCAGCGCCTCCCAGACCGCCAGCGCCTTTTGTGCCCGAAGTACCCATACCATCCACAGCACTAGCCGCGCCGAGTGCTTCTATATTTCCGAAGGCCTTGGTGCCGAGCATGGATGTGTCCAGCATTATTACACAGCGTTTGAGTGCCATACGACGCCTGCAGGTAAGCAGCTGTTAGCTTTAATCCAATAGTTGCAATCACAACTAATAAATTAAACCGTCAACAGGATAATCCCGCCGATTCGGAGGCACTGAAAATGATGTTCAATGCGCAGCGGGACATGTCTTGCTGGGCCTCCTCAAAATTTTTGCCCGGCCAGTTTACGGGCAGCACTGGTGCTCAGGTGATGAAGGTACATGAGCTGAACAGCGGGCCGCAGTTGTGGGCGCGCCGGGATCAGCTGACTTCCAACAAGCCCGTTACAGGCGGCATGGGCATGGCTCTATTGCAGAAAATGGGCTGGAAGCCGGGCGAGGGCTTGGGACGCACGAAGACCGGCTCACTGCAGCCGCTGCAGTTGACGGTCAAGCTGGACAAGCGTGGCCTAGTCTCTCGCGAAGATCTTAAGCAGCAACCGGCTCGCGGCCAGGGCGCACGTGCGCATAAAAACACAAGGGCTACAAATATCGCCCAGGCTGCGCTCACCGCCCACGACAAGCATCCGGTTTGTGTGCTCAACGAACTGACATCGAAAAACAAATGGACGCCACCGCAATATACGCTAAGGGACGATTCAGGTCCGTCGCATAGCCGCATGTTTCGCTTCTCCGTGGAGATCAATGGACAGACATATACGCCCGACCAGGGCTGCAACAGCAAGAAGGAAGCCAAACTGAATGCGGCCAAGTTGTGTTTACGAGCTTTGGGTATTTTGCCGCCCAGTTAGTAAGAAATCTTCGAACTGCTGGCGGCATTCTTAGTTTCTGCCTATTCTAAGTGTATACATAGTTAGAAATATATATATATATATATATATGTATGAATATGCTTCTGTATATAATTAAAAATAAACTACGATTAAGTGAAACGTTAATAACTGGAACTGTTCAAGAATATGCATACATTATGGGCACAAGAGATCTTCTATGCAAGGTAAACGAAACTTCACCATAAAAGCTCTTGTGAACAACTATCGAATTTTATCGACCGTTAGAGTTAAAAAGCTCTTGTGGTATGTGGCCAATGGGAGAGCTTAGTGTTGGGAGGCAAATGTTTTTTATTTTCCCCTCAAGCCTCTCAGACCTCTTGACCGAAACGTTTCTCTTGTTTTGCAAATTATTAAAGCTTTGGCTGGCTTTTGCGCAAGTACACAAACAAATCAAATCAGCTGAGCGGGGCAAAAAGCTGGGGTTGGCCAACACCGACACATGCGCCCGTTGCAATTCTGTGGGTGAATGTGTGTGTGAGTGTGTGTGTGTGTGTGTGTGTGGGAATTCAATCTCTACACGGAATGGCTTAAGCACACATTGAAGGTCAGTTCAGGCGGGAGTGTGGCAGAGACAACATCTCGAATTGCTCAGGATGTGGCTAAAGCATCCCGATTGCAGCTCCCTTCAATTGGTGTACAGGCACAAATTTTTTTTGAGTGGCCCAGGTTCGCATGGCACAGTTAGGCAGCATCCAATTGCATAAAGTTGCATATGGAACAGATGTTGGCAGCCGATGCCAGCTGTTGCCAAGTTTATAAGCTGTATGTGTGTGCGGTTGTATGTTTTAGAGTTATTTCTGAAGTTGCATAACTTTGCATGGGCACGAAAACATACCCATAAGTACATACATACATACATATGTATGTATATGCAACCATTTACATACATATTTACGGTACTATTGTGTGCATGCTTCTACATATGTATGTCCGCTGACTATTGCAATTTGGACCTGGGCGTCACGGATTGATGTTGACTGCTCAGTTTGTTTATTGCCGCAGCCATGGAAACGTGTCGCACTTGTGCAAGGTGCGATTTCGAAAATGGCAACAACTATTGGCTGGACATGTTCCATCCAACGCGTTGGCAGAGCGAGATGGCGCAAATTCGCCTGGAGTTTGACAACTGGAAGTTACAGGTGAGTCTATGCCGCAAATGCAATAATACAGAAGTAAAAGCAACCATTATGGAAAATGCAATTTGTGAAAGTTTGTGCGTTGCATTTTAATTAAGCTTTTGATCGTGCAACGGCGCGTACGCGGCATCGATAACATTTATTTATCGGTTTTTTCAAATGTAACGTAAATATTCGATCAAATTAGCGACTGCGACTGAGAGTGTGTGCGTGTCTGATCGCAGCATGTGTATGTGTGCTGTATCGATAAGCTAAATATATCTGTTTTTTTCAAATGTACCGTAAATATTTGATTTGATTAAGAAATGCATTGAGTGAAATTCGGAGCTGCGTTAATTTACACTCTTTTTTTCCTTTCGGCGTTTAAAAATTTAAAGTAAAAATAACTTAAACTTTGCTGCATTGTTTGTAGATCTCACCAAACGATGGATTGCCCCAAAAGATTTGCAGCGATTGCTTTACAAAATTCTGCTCCATATACACATTTCGTATGGCCTGCCAGGACGCACAGTTAAAGTTGTCGAATATTTTTGATAAAATCGATGCGAATTCGCTCTTTGATAAAAACGAAGAGGATAATATTGAGGAGGATGTGGATGAAATAGAAGCGGCGACCGAAATAAAAACAGAAACAGAAACAACGACAACAACACAAAATACTGCCATTATTGAGGCCAACACGGAAACACCAATAGAAATCTTTGTGGAAACGATTAGCATCAACGAATCTGAATTCCTACAACCAGATGAGGAAACCGATTTAGCTTCAGATTACAGCACATTGAACATAAGCTATGCTTGTAAATTTTGTCACAAACCACAGGAAAGCTATGAGCTGCAGCACCTATTACTAGAGCACATCAGTAACGCACACGATCCGGATCAGCCCTACAACTGTCCGGAGTGCACAGAGTGCTTCCAAG